TTTTGCATTCTTTGGGTCTAGTTAGTGTTTTAAACTTTGTTTTCACGTTTTCAAGTCAGTTTCCAAGTGATTTAGCAATCCCTCCTAATCCCCAGCCTAGAACGATCCCTACTTACATACTTTACTACAATTGATAAAAAGAGGGTTTAATTTGTGTGTTTAGTTATTTTACGCATCAGTTATACCTATGATTAGTAAGAAATCTCTGAGATAGTGAGTATTTCCCCTAGAATTATGGAACTATTTCACATGACCAGTTCCTTATCAATCATCCAAAACCATCACCCAAGTGGGCTCTAATATGTATTCAGCCTATGGTGTGTTGGAAATATGCCCTGAAAGTCAATCTTTGGAAGAAACCTTTCAGGACAAATAAATCGATGTATAGATGACTCTTATACATCAAAAGGCAAAGATACTAATTAGGACTATCTCAATAAACGATATATGTCCTAAATAGTGAATCCATGGACAATGGATCGATTGAAGAGGTAATCTAATGATGTTAGACTACAGAGACCTTCTTCACATAACCATTATGTCCAAAAGGTTCCTGGTCATTGGATTGTCGGAGGGAAACTGACAATGCTTAGACCGGTACATACTGTGTCCGCTTCAAATGGAAGAATGGAAAGTCTCATCCCATTTGTGTAGTGACACTAAGACAAGTATGTAAGTGCTCATTAAGGGAATGAGTTCACTGAACACAATCGAACGAGAGTACTTGCATGGAGGTCTACTCACATGTCAAGCAAGTAACTCTAATGGTTGGAATAATGTAAGTAGTCCTTTGACCTGAGGCATCGTCGTTGTCTTGTGGCTAAGTACTTAATCTTTGATTGTGTCAAAGTCACCCCATTCGCGGATGTCCACAGCATAATTGGGGTTAAGCCACTTAGTCATGAAGGCAAGTGAATGCGCAACAAGGAATCTCTAATCCTCGATAAGAGAGGAAGAATACTCTGAGATATGATTCGGGAATCTTCGGCCGAAGTATCGAGCGTAATAAAGGAAAGCGTTCCTATACGACTCAATTGAATCATATAAGAAGGAATAATCACATTAGGGGTTTGACATAATATATCCATACCCTAGTAATGTCATTGAGAGTATTGTTTTAGAGAATGATCGAATTACATTGTAATTCCAACTAAATAGGTTCTCCGAACAACTTCTACATTAGCTTGGGTAGCTATGACATATGGTTAGATGTCACTCATAGCTTGTGAGTTCTTCTAGATGATTAAATGTAGTCATCAAAGAAGAAAGGTGAATTAAAAGGAATTTTTATTCACTAAGTGATTGGATTAAATATAATCAATTGGATTGATGTCAATCACCTCACTGCCTTGCTAATTAGAACCTAAAATGATTGTACACCGATACACTCTTGTAGTGAGTAATTAATGGATGATGGAAATAATTAATTGGATTAATTAAGTGTTGTGATTAATTTAGAAAGTCTAAAGAAATCATAAAAGCGATAAAAGATTGTTTTGGGCTTAAAGAAACGTTCCGGTTTAATTGGGCCCATTGGGCCTAAACCCATTGGGCTTTTATTCAAGTATTGGATGACTAGAAATAAATAAAAGCCCAAAGCCCAAACCAACACAAAGGGGCTGGCCTTTTAAAGTGGAGAGGGAGAGATATTTAGTCAAGTTGTTGACTAGATTTCTTTTTGTCTATATAAGGAACTTTATAGAGATTTAATCCTTAGGGTTTTTTGTGTGTTTTAAAACAACAAAGAGGCAAAAGAAACATCTCTCTAAAACCACAAAAGGCCGGCCACCTTGAGGGTGATTTAGCTAACAATCTTTCACCTTTTTGGTTATTCCTCCATCCATCTCATTACACTAGTGGGTGTGGATATTTAGAGGTCTTCCCTTTGGAGACTAAAGGAGAACCTTGGAGCACTCTTACTAAAAAAGTGGAGGAGGCAAGGAGGGAAGCTAGGCTCAAGGACTTCAAGGAGCAAAGGGCTTGGAGGTGGTCCATCCTTGGTCTAAAATCAAGATCAAGAGGTATAGATCTATACTTTCACTTAGTTCTTTACTTGAATGTTTTAGATGCATTATATATAAACCTATGAACCTTGAAGGGGATTTGCATGACTATAGCTTTGATATTATTTGATAAATTGCTTCCGTTGCTCATGTATATAAATTTTGAATTGTATATGCATGCTAGTCATTTAGAAATCCCATGTGATAAACTCATAATTTTCCCTTCATGGTGGTGCTACTAATTGACAATATTGTCCGATATCCAGGAACTGTCAACTAGTATTCAAGCGGTATGATTTCTGATACCGGACACAGGTGTTGGTATCTGGGAGTGATACATTTATACCAGAATGTCGGTTCACAGTTTCAGGGTAATGAATAATATCAAAATATCATAAATCTATTAATTAACACACGACTAATAAACTGATTAACAGTGACTGCTGAAGCCGAAAAAACTAAATCTTGGCAAGTTAGTAGCAAGCTTTGTATTAGGACAGTAAACTCGTAGTTGTTTTTACCTTATCACTTATCTAGGTAAACATAATCTCTCTAACAAGCCACCTTTTCGATCACTTCCACAAGTAGATAGTAGAATTGAAGTATGAGTTAATTTCTCATTGTTAGAGTAAATGGAGTATCGAGGAAGCTATTGAGATCCATTAGCACGTGACGGAGTGAAAGGAGGTAGTATGGTAGGATTCGAGGACGTACATTTAAGCGTTATATTCGAAAAATCTCACCTGGGATATCATCAAATGGTGAAACGAAGTACACCATCAATCCATTTTCTATATCAGTTTTCTTTGTGACTTTTCGAACAAGTCCTACTTCATTGAGAGAACTTAGTTACGAAAGCTTACCGATTAGGAATTTATCCAAGCAAACTCTTATCTAGGAAACCTCGAACCTATCTGCGAAGGCGAAAGGCCGAACCTTAGGATCATAACTAGATTTTAGCAACTAAATTAGGCGACAACGAAAAAACAGTTAGCCTTATTTCGAATTGATGGTCTCTTCAACCAACTTCTTGAGTCTGAGTCTTCTTTCATAGCCTGTTGAATTCATAGTAGTCTTACTAATGACTTTCTCATTTGCTTCAGTAATGAGACTAGATTCTCTAAATACCGACAATCAGCTTTATATAAAATTTCTCAAACGTAAGTTTTGTTTAGATTAGTACTTTTGTTGGGAGACATGATCTCAGTAAAGAATATTCTTTACTCTTTTCCAAAAGGTTGTAGCGGAAGAAAGTTGGCATTCTCACAAAGTGTTGTGAGATTTGAGACATCCTTAGTCTTGTCGAGTTATCAACAATTGGTCAACGATTTTTCGGCTATAATGTTTTTCCTCACATATTGACCAAGGAAAGTTAGTTCAGCTTAGGGTGTTGATTATGAATAAAGTTTCTGACAACCGAATTGTTGTCTCAACCTACCTTTGTGTTACACTTTTCAATGAATTGATCATTTGAAAATCCATGATGACGTGTTCTCTGGATGTTTCACTATGCTGAGGCAGCATGACGGAGATTCGCTTATACTTTCCAACGGTTAAAACCGTTTGAAATGAACCATTCTATTCATGACTTAGAGTCAATTGTTATTATCTTCATTTGAAATATCATATGACACTTCTCGGTGAGAAACGTGTCTAGAACCTTTACCAACCTTAGATTTCTCAAATACATCTTCATTTGAGATAAGCTAAAATTTCTGATAGCGACGATGGAATAGCCAAATCAACGCCTATGAATGCACTATCGTGTATTACCTTGGTGGTGCAACGTAGTTACTGAGCACCTTTAGCTTGTCCTATCCCACCTCAATTGGAATTCACAGTATTGTTTTGACGTTACTTGTGAGATATCAATAAATTTTTTGGGTGGTTATAATCACTTCATGTATCTGTATAAGGATGGGAAATATCACCATAAGCTTCCAATACGAGGTATCTTGTACTTGTGGAGATATGACGATGTTTCAGTGACCAACAACCGATGTGACAAGTTAGCTCATTTTCCGTTGGTCGAGATGGACTATGCTTAGACCACTTGGTAAAATTCCTCATTCTTGAAATTATCAGATCTTTCTGACATTTAGACCAACGTCCATTCTGACTGTGATTCCATATTCACCTCTTTGTGCCAGAAGACATTCCAATCATCCTTCGATTTGTGTCCACATCATTGTGCCTCGTATTATTTTGATGCAAACAGACTGTACAGAGAATCGCTCGACGCTTAAAATTTAGTGTGATAATTAATTCATCAATCACCCAACGAATACTCTGCTGAACGAATCTTGATCGTTGGTGATTGAATGTTCCAGAAACTACCAAGCCTTCTCGACATGGTTTCTCACTCAATCAGTGAAGAATTCACGATATATAGACCAGGTGGATGTGTGCACCCAATTTCGTATTGATGCTAGCTGTAATAGTTGGAGCATAATCTTCTACCAGATATATCAAGAAAAGTTTCATATGGTCTTGAGGATTAAGCAGCCTTTCAGCGTTGTATTGGTGAAGGTATGAATGTAGGTTTTGATCTTGGCGATTGTGGCATTAATTTCTATGTGTGAGTCGAGATTGCAACCCTCATTTGAAGAATGTGGTCAAAGATATAGTTTCTCTAATTCAAGTTTTCAAATCTTATATCATCAATTTGGAAAGCGATCATCATGGTTAGTCTCGAAAGAAATGTTTTACGATAAGTGTTCGTCCAGGTGCATTTTCACTACTTTACTTCAGGACTTGGTGGTTTGGGCTTACATGGACGTTGAAACACTTCTAGCAACTGGATTAAGGCATTTTCACTACTGTAATATCGATGGCTTAATTGTTGGGGTCACTAAACAAGTGAGCAAGTCAGCTCATCTATGGCAACAGTTATTAGTTAGTGAAGGTTTGGACTCGACTCGTGACTCACACACTCATTCTAGAAATTCGTGACACGACGAATGCTGGAAGGTGGGGTAATCAGTAGTAAAGTATTTGATGGATTTCAGTCAGAAATTGCTGTTCTTTCCAAGGTTCGTCATCGACATCTGGTTTCTCCTTTGGGTTACTCCGTTGAAGGAAATGAAAGGCTTCTTGTCTACGAGTATGTCTCAAGGCGCTCTTAGCAGACATCTTTTCCATTGGAAGAGCTTCAATCTGAAGCCATTATCTTGGACAAGGAGACTCATAATTCTGTTGGATGTTGCAAGAGCGATGGAATACCTACATAATTTAGCCTGCCAAACCTTCATACACCTAAATCTCAAATCTTCCAATATTCTTCTGGGTGATGACTTTCATGCAGAAGTTTCAGATTTTCGGTTGGTGAAACTTACTCCGGATGGGGAGAAGTCTGTTGTGGCTAAGCTTGCGGGGACATTTGGATACCTTGCACCTGAATATGCCTGTAAGATTTCTTTTGAATCCCCTGTCAAATTTGGTTCTGGAATCGAATTATATAAGTTCATCATACAACTGCTGTAAAATCATATACATGTTATGATTATAAATTGATGTTGTCTTGTACTTGTAACACACGTCTACAACTGCTGTAAATTCAAATAAATTCCTTTTATTTTTTCACGTCGAAGAGAGATAAATCGCTTCTGAATGAGCCCCAAGGTGATAAAATGACCCGCAAATCAAATTCTCGTACTGTGTCTCTTTTGGTTTACCAAAGTGTGTTCACTCAGAGATCAGAAAACATGCTGATTAAACTAAACATTTATTATGTGTTTGAAACAAAGTGAAGATAACTAGTCCTATTGGCTGTCGATTTTTTCCATAGGGTTGCGACTTGGTGACTGCATCTTATTTTAGCTAAAAATGCCGGTAGTTTCCTTGAAATGGAGGGACTCTATGTGATATCCTGCAGATGATTGAATATTTTAGTTTTCAAATCGTTATGTACTTTTACATCTGATCTACATAATTTGTCTTACTAAATCATAATAATTGATTTCAGTGGTGGGGAAAATCACAACAAAAGCAGATGCGTTCAGCTTTGGAGTGGTGTTAATGGAACTTTTAACTGGATTGATGGCGCTTGATGAGAACTGGCCAGAGGAAAGCAGGTACTTGGCCGAGTGGTTTTGGCAAATAAAGTCAAGCAAGGAGAAGCTTGTGGCTGCAATTGATCCAACTCTTGAAGTAAAAGAAGAAACTTTTGAGAGCATCTCGATAATAGCTGAACTAGCTGGTCATTGCACAGCGAGGGAGCCAAGCCATCGGCCTGAAATGGGACATGCAGTGAATGTGTTGTCCCTACTTGTCGAAAAGTGGAAACCAGTTGAAGACGAATCCGATTGTCTCTCAGGGATTGATTACAACCACCCTCTACCTCAGATGTTAAAGGTTTGGAAAGAATCAGAAAGCCAAGGAGTCAGGTATATAGCCTTGAGGACAGCAAGGGCAGTATTCCTGCAAGGCCTAACGGATTTGCGGAGTCCTTCACTTCCGCAGATGGGCGATGAGAAATTGGTAAGTCCACAGAATCTATTGGCTCTTGCAGCACTAGTCTCTATGTAGGATGTCATTAAGTACTTCCTTTTCGTCTGTGTCCATTCTAGTAATCAGAGGTGCTTGCATCGGGAGTGTGAGAATTGTCCGGTCCATATCATCAATGTAGATAGAGGACGTCGATTCAAATTGTTTGTTCGTATTTTAATGAATTATGTAAGTTTACTTTATATACATGTTAGTTTGAAAGAATCAACTGCATTCACATTTTAAGACATCTCACTATCATATTAATGCACATATTATTATTGATAATTGTTTCGAAATCAAGAAATTACTAGACACTTCTGCGATATCAACGCTCCCACGGGAGCTCCCTTCCTGTTGCAACAATTTTCCCGGAAAAGTTGACTGAAATTTACAAACCAGTCAATAGATGCAATTTTAAGCATTGACCAAAATCAATTAGTTTTAGTGATTGAAGGCTGAAGCACTCAAAGACATGAGCTAATGCAAACAGACCTGTTATTTGTAATTTTTCGCTTCACTGGTTCTGCTTAGGCTGCAATCTCTATTTTGCTCTTTGAGTTCTGGATTTGAAGTAGAATGTTATGTTACTTTGTCAATCTAATGTATATAAAGCCTCTTGAAGACTTACCCATTACCTTTCCAAAAACTTCCCTAAGTTTTTAAGTACTAACACTAAGCCGGCTACATATGGTGTTTTAATATTTTTGCATCGTATCATTTTCTTGTCATGTAACATTATTCTCGAGACAACAAACATGTAACTTTGCACGCCTAAATATATTAACTCAAATTAATTTGTAAATTTTACTTGTAGTATCGTGTTTCAACCATACACTAATTTTTTTTTATTTCTGACAGGAATCACCACGACATGAGACATTTCAAATAATATCAAGTTGAACATAAAGCAAGCACCTTATAATATCATGAAACCTAATTATGTGAAACACATTACATAAAAATGACCAAGTTATTATGCTAAATGATTTTTCAGAAATAAAGGATGTATAAAAGCGTAGTTGACATAGATAACATGTCTATCGTATTTTGCAAATGAACATTAGCCAGCCCCGTTAACTAACGTATTATTATTGTGTAAACCCACTTTAGTACAGTCCTAACTATATAAGTTTTTGTGTTTATTCGTGTCATGTTTTTACTTCATATATTATTTTTCAAGGTGTAATTAAAATTATAATTTAGACAAGATTGTTATAAATAGGCAAAGGTTAGAGAGATAACCTTTGCTAGAGACATGAGCAAAGTAATTGCAAAATATTATACCAACACACAATGATTGCAGAGGAAGTGAGGAATATTATTATTATCAATTGTTTTTCTCTCGTAGTGTCTTGATCACCTATATAATATAAAAAGTTTACAATGAATGAAAACAATTTCCTGTGACATAACACAACAAATTATGCCTTATTCATTACTATTCACATGTGGGCATATAATCCCACTATTTACAACAAAGATAACATTTTAGATCTGCCACATCCTTTGTTTATTAGAGTGCCTCCTCTTTAGAATAATGGTATTTTAAACAATCTGTTTGGATCAAAACTTGAACTTTGGGCTCAAGGAAGGAGCTGGCCCGAAAGAAGGCCCAAAAGGAAAAATAGCCAGAGCCCAGTCAAAGCCCAGAAGGTAGGGAAAGGCCTTTTCTGACTTGGTGCAGCTCATGAAAACCACTTGCTTACCTACCCAAAGGCCAAGTGGTGTAGACTGATCAGCTACACAGCCCATAAAGCACTTTATGGTGGCATTACATGTAAAAAAGTTGATGTCATCACCCTCAAACCGCATTCGGGCAAAGCTGCTGCTACAGAAGCCTAAGCCGAGTTGTCTATATAAGAAGAAAGAAAATCCAGGAATAAGGACACTCAAACAAACAAACAAATGCAAGCACAAACTCTGCTCAAAGCCAGATTTGCCTTCAAAACAAAGCTGTAGTCAGCCTTCATCCCTCTCGGGACAAGCCTTCATCCCTCGCGGGATAACTCTCCCTCCAAACCTTTGTAATAGCTCTGCTACCCTGTTCAACCTTGCTGTAATATCGATTCATCTTTTGTAATCTCTCTCTATCCCTCTAAAGCCTTCAGACCCTTGACAAAACTACAAAGATAGGAACCTACAAGACGAGCAGCCTTACCCGATAAGGTTTAACCTTGCCCGACCTTCTTTGCTTTGTTTTTATCTTTTCAATATGTTGTATACATCCAGTTATATGCAAGTTATTTCTAGCAATATGACTATTAAAAGGCTTTCTCAATACTTGAATCCAATTTGAATATATCTTAAGTGTTCAAATCAGATCCAAGTCCTAAGCCCTCGAGCATGTAAATCTGATCAGTGAAAAGTCCTTGGCCTCAAGGCATAAAAAAAGAACTTTATGTGGACTTAACCCATCCACGACAGTCCTTGATAAACGAGAAGTCCGAAGTTACTTGGGGCGCAAGTAATCGACCTACCCTCTAGTTTTGTTTCTATTATATTATGATTACCATAGAACGCTTGAGCATGGAATGGATTCTGATGGAAAGCCTCAAGGCCTACACCTAAGGCCCCACAAAGGCATCCATTTGGATTCATTCCATTCAGCGATCTAAAGAGTCTAAGTATAAGAATGAACTCTGATAGGAAGCCTCAAGGCCTACACCTAAGGCCCCACGAAGGCACCTATTTGGGTTCATTCTACTTCTTAGGCTCGGGTAATCAGAGGTATAATAGTTAGAAAACTCCGACAATCATGAGAACAAATATGATGTGTTCGGGCACTGGTTTAGTTATTTATGGGAAGCCTCAAGGCCTACACCTAAGGCCCCACGAAGGCACATGTTATAACTAACACGGTTTCTCGAATATATACATACATACAACTAAAACTCGACATCCATTTCACATCTGCCATGCTGAAGATGGCAGTGGCACGCCTGAGCACCTAAAAGTTAACCTTGATTGTGAGCCTCAAGGCCTACACCTAAGGCCCTACAAAGGCACCTCTCAAAGTTAACCATGTCCTTCTCTTTCAGCCTTGCCCGACAAGCCTTGCCCGAAGAGTCTTGCCCGACGAGACTTGCCCGACAAAGCCCGATAGCGAAGCAGAAGCCCGACAGCAGCCCTCAACCGGCGCCAACCTCCAGGGGAGCTGTGTGCTCGTTGGCCAGGAAACATCCCCGACGGAAATTCCTGACGCGAACACAATGAGTCTTCCCGCGTACACAGCAACCCCAATCCAACTCCCTCAACTTCCCAGACAACCACCGCCGTTTCTCCCACTTCCAAACCCTTCCCAGTCCACCTCCCCTAATCCAAACCAGTACCGGAAGCACTCCGTCTCGCTTGAAAGGACCAAAACCCCCATAGACCCCACTTTTTCATGGACCTCATCAATATCCCACCGCTGCCGAAATGGTCATTTAGCTGAAGCTCTTGCTCACTTCATCCAAATGAGACGAGCTGGAGTCGAACCAAACCACGTCACATTTGTTACCCTTCTCTCTGGCTGCGCCCATTTTCCGGCCAAGGGCGTTCAGTTCGGGCCTTCGCTTCATGCTTATGCCCGGAAGCTCGGATTGGATACAAATAATGTGATGGTAGGCACGGCGGTGATTGATATGTATGCCAAGTGTGGCGGTGTGGATTTTGCTAGGTTGGTTTTTGATGGGCTGGATGTGAAGAATTCAATGTCTTGGAATACTATGATTGATGGGTATATGAAAAATGGGAAGGTTTCGGATGCGGTTGAGCTGTTTGAAAAAATGCCTAACAGAGATGCGGTTTCTTGGACCGTGTTGATTGGTGGGTTTGTCAAGAAAGGTCAGTTCGAGCAAGCGTTGGCGTGGTTTAGAGAGATGCAGCTCGCGGGAGTTGAACCAGACTATGTGACTATAATTGTTGTAATCGCTGCGTGTGCAGATCTGGGAACGCTTGGTCTAGGCTTGTGGCTAAACCATTTTGTTATGAAGCGAGACTTTAAAGACAATGTTAGGATAAGTAACTCATTGGTTGATATGTATTCTCGATGTGGTTGTCTTGGTTTTGCTCGTCAAGTCTTCGAGAACATGCTGGAAAGGGCATTGGTATCATGGAACTCGATGATTGTGGGATTTGCAGTTAATGGGCACGCAGAGGAAGCTCTCGAGTTCTTCAACCTGATGCAGAAGAAAGGGCTCAAGCCAGACAGGGTCAGCTTCACTGGAGCTCTCACCGCGTGCAGCCATGCTGGTTTAGTCGATAAGGGGCTCCATTACTTTGATAACATGAAGGGAGTTCACAGAATAACACCCAGAATCGAGCATTATGGATGCATAGTCGATCTCTATAGCCGTGCAGGGAGGTTGGAAGATGCCTTGGGTGTAATAGAAAACATGTCGATGAAGCCAAATGAAGTTGTGTTGGGTTCTTTGTTGTCCGCTTGTAGAACCATTGGGAACGTCAGTTTAGCTGAAAGATTGATGAAGTACCTCTCTGTGGTTGATCCTGGAGTTGATTCCAACTATGTGCTCCTAGCCAATATATATGCAGCTGCTGGACGGTGGGATGGTGCAAACAAGGTTAGGAAGAAGATGAAGAACCTTGGAGTACAGAAGACACCGGGATTTAGTTCCATTGAGGTTGACTGTAACATTCATGAATTCGTGGCCGGTGATAAATCCCATGTTGACACAGAGTGTATATATTCAACCCTAGGGCTTCTCTCTTGAGCTCATATTAAGTGGGTATGTTCCAAAAAATATTGTGAGAGAACCGTACAAGTTTGATTGACACTGTAGTTGTAGATTATTCGAGAATACAATATCTTTCTACGACTACTTGTGAAGCTCCAAAACCAGTCTTGTCAATATAATTCAAGAAGTGATTTCGTACACCCTCATTTTCCTTTTGCACACACCTCTTCATTCCCCCCCCCCACCTAAATTTTCCTTATATTTATTCAATCTAATACTAGGGGAAAAACCAAAAAAGTGTGCAAAACGAGAAAATGGGTGGGTGTGCGGGAATTATTTCACTATATAATTCATTTGTGAGATGTGAACTAAAACTAAGACATGGTATTAAAAAAAACCAGTACAAACAAGTTAAAAAAAAAAAAAAAAAAAAAAAAACTTTATGATATTAGCATCGGTGAAATGAGAAGAGAAGAAACACCAAACCAACAACAGAGAACTTCATCGACCCGAAAAGTGATGAATGAAAGTTCTTTCTTCCTTGGGTTGTTTACACCCTCTAGGAGTTATATCCATTGCCATCAAAATATGTTCTCCCACAAAGTCAAGTTCCATAGCAATGGAAGAGAAAGCATTCCAGTCCGTGTATAGTCTGTTCCATCTGTTCCCGCCACAAATTCGAAAGCCACATGTAGAACTCTCAGTAACTAGAAGGCAACCTTCAGATTGAGAAGTATATATAGGCTTTACGAACAAATTTCAATCCCGAAGGCAACTTGAGAAGGGAATTTTTCCCCAAAAGCATCATGAGCAAAGAACTGGGGAGTTTTGCAAGTACTTCATTGTTAAATGCCTCAAATAGATGCTACACTAGGTCGCCTTCCATGAAGCATCTCTTCCACTCTCTCAGCCACCTCTACCTTCCCGTGAATCCTACAAGCCCCCAACAATGCACCCCATAATGCCTCATCCGGCTCCACCGCCATCCCCAAAACTAATTCCTCTGCTTCATCCACCCGTCCCACCCTACCCAACAAATCCACCATACAGGTATAATGTTCCAACCCGGGAATCACCCCGAACCTCTGCTTCATCATTTCAAAATACTCCCTTCCCTTCTCTGTCAGCCCTCCATGACTACACGCTGTCAAAACCGTAGTGAAAGTCACCCCGTCCGGCCTTTCTCCTGCCTCCACCATCCTATCAAACAACTCAAACACCTCATTAAACACTCCATGCATCCCATACCCCGCCATAATTGCCGACCAAGAAATCTCATTCCTCATTAGCATTCCGTCAAACACTTTATGGGCACCCGCCAAATCACTACACTTGGCATACATACTAATCAACGCATTCGAATTCGCCAAGTCAAAGCCAAACCCATTGACCAAAACAGCTCCATGAACTTGTTTGCCGAGCCTCAACACCGATAACCCGGCACAAGATTTGAGAACCGCAGGCAAGGTATGGCGGTCGAAGGGTTTATTGGCGGCGAGCATTCGGAGAAAAATGGACAGAGACTGAGAAAAGAGGCCTTGGGAAGAGTGGGCTCTGATGAGGGTGTTGAATATGAAGGTTGGTCGGCTAGTGCAGAAGGAGAAGAGAAGGTTGGATTGCTTCAGTTGGGAGGAAGCGGCGTAGGAGCAGAGGAGCTTCGTTCGAATGAAGTCGTGGCGGGAAATGCCGAGTTTTATGGTTTTAGCGTGGAGCTGCGTGAGGGTTCGGAGGTTCTTGGACGAACTGCAGCCGTCGAGTAGAGTGGCGTAGACTGGTATGAGGCCGCGAGGTGGAGGAACAGCCATTGCTGCCTGTATAGCAACCTCAGGGAGGAATTGTTCCTGAAAGCACAGGTGTGAAACCCTAACGCGATATCAAATTCACCGTTCCATTCAAACAAATCATTACTTTACAAAAAATTTATTTGGAAAAAATCTCAGGGTGGAATACCTTTTTAGGTAACAAAAAAATTTAGGAAGGCCAAGTATTACAGTTACTAATATTCATCTTCGCTTATAAGTGAGAGGTTTTATATTTAATTCTTGTCAAATATAAATTTGAACTACATTATTACTAACTCATTGTGAGTTTAAGCCCATCACCTCCCCCTTAATGTAAACACCAATGTTCATTACAAAAAAAAAAGTTTAGGAAGGATAGGGCAGACTTACTTCAACCTAAACCTTCGTCTAAGCGAAAATAATGATCCTTACAAACTCGACTGATCTTTGTAGGCACAAACGTGTCATAACTTCATTCTCTACTAATTCACGACTACACAAGTTCATTCTCTGCTACAACAAATAAGAAAGAAAAAATCCTACAAATACAATGAAAATGAGTAGTTTCAAGGACTATTTTCTTCATTTTGATACAATCAATATAGTAGAATCTTGATACTTTAATACTCGATAAATTAATAACATCTGTTAAATAATATTGTTATTGTTCCCAACTTAGGGATAACTTGCTAAATTTATAAGATAAGAGCATCTCCAAATGAAATGTCACATTTTAAACATCAAAATGATACTTGATGGCTTATGTGGCAATTTGACATTTTGTACAATTTTTTACTCCACCCTATTACTAAGGGTTCTTTGGAACTGCTTTTAAAATGGATGAAAGTGTTTTTTGTGAAAATATTTTTAGAACCAATCTTTAGTAAAAATGCAAGCGAATCCTGCAAAAAAAAAAACATTTAAAGTGCTTCCTGCAAGAAGCACCAATTATGTGTTTCTTATAGGAATCACTTTAAGTGTGTTTGAAACCTAGAAATATTTTCTCTAAAAGCGTTTTTAGTTATTTTAAAAGTACTTCCAAACGAGCCCTAAGACATTTTTTGTTTAAATAGAGTTTTGGCTTTCAATAGTGTTCCACTTCTATACTACGTAACATTAAATGCTAAGAGCATTGGAGAAAATACGGAATACCTTAATAAATTAATAAGCTATTAATTAATCAATAAATTATTAATTTATCAATTATTTAATATTCCACTAAATTAATATATTTTCTTGGTCCTAAGACTATTAATTTATGTTTGTTTGGAAGTGTTTTTAAAATAGGTAAAAACAATTTTAGACCACCAAAAGCACTTCTGATAGTGTTTGACAAAAAAAGGTTAAAAACGCTTCTAGGTTGGGAAAAAATAAAACATTTGAAGTATTTTCTGAAAGAAACATTTGTTGTATGCTTCCTTCAACACTTTATGCCAATAAAGTAAGGCCCCTTGCACAACCCCATGTTAACCCCATCAAATCTCCTCTAAATCTGGCCTTGGATCTAGAAATGTCCACAACTCAGAAATTGAATCTTCGTCTATTGACATTCTTTATGCAACAGTTAATTTTGGAAGATTCATAATTTGTTTTATGTTTGATTGTTGGGTAAATTACATTTTACCCCCTCAGGTTTGAGGTCGATTTCAATTCCTTACAACATCTTTAAAACATTTCAATTTCATACATTTACTTATCATTTTATTTCAATTTCATACATCTGTTTGAAAATCTGTTAAGTGATGACGTGGCAAATATGGGGTCCCCACTTGTGTTGACGTGGTTGCCACATTTGTGTCACATGGCTAAAAACTTACTAAAAATTTTAAAATATTAAAATAATTATTTAAAGTACAGTTTAAAAAAAACCAAAACCATCACCCATCACCCACCCCTTCCCCCTTCCCCCATCACCCATCACCCGCAACCACTTCCCTCCCCACAGCGCCTCCATCTCCAACGAGAACCTCCCTGCCGAGTGCCTCCATCTACAATGCGAAATCATGGAAACGGTCAAGTCAGAGAAGCAGAAAACCACCTTTTCCATTTTATTTTCCAAGTTTTAAAATTTCAAAAGTGTGAAAAGTCTGAGAGGAAGCACGTACGGAAAATTGTAAGAAAAACCCAGAAAATTCAAAAAATAAAATTTAGGTGAGAATATAAATGTGGAGTGAAAATGGGTAGGAAGGGAAAAATTAAGAAGAGATCTGGATCGGAGAAAATTTTCTCGAGAAAGTTGGAGACCACAACGACGGTGGAAAATTTTCAAAAGCTAGAAAATCCATAAAACCAAAAAGAAAACGACTAAAAAACATAAAAACCAAAAAACCCAAATGTTGAAGGAGTGGAGAAAATTTTCTCCAGAAAGTTGTAGATCACAGCGGTCATGTACCAAAAAACCCAGACAATCCATCTTCGTCAAAGATGGCAGTGGTCTTCATCGACCCGATCAATCGGGGTTTTCTTCGAGTGCGGGAGGATGTTGAGAGAGAATGAGATAGTTGGGGAGAGAGAGTGGTGCGAGAGAAAGAATGTTGGGGGGTGGGAGAAAGGGTGGGTGATGGGGGGTGGGAGGGTGGGCACGGGTGGGGATTATGGGGAAGAATGGGATTTGGGTTTTGTTTTGTTTTTTGTTTTTACTTTTCAGCCACGTGGCACAAATGTGGCAGCCATGTCGGCACATATGGGGACTCATATTTGCCACATCATCACTTAATGGTTTACTTAATAGATTTTCTAACGGATGTATGAAATTGAAATAAAATGATAGGTAAATGTATGAAATTGAAATGTTTTAAAGATATTGTAAGGAATTGAAATCGACCTCAAACTTGAGGGGGTAAAATGTAATTTACCCTTGATTGTTGGAAGTCAAACAATCTTCAGCAACAACAACAAGAAGCCAACGACTAGTTTTGTTTAAATACCAACTGCTAGTTCTCAAGCCAAGTCCTAAAAAACAAATGAAGGGTTGAGATTAAAACTGGGTTGTATGGTTAAGGTTAGAATAGTACAATGTTAGGTAGAGTTCCTTGTCTTCTTTCTCAATAAAGATAAGATTGATGACTATAATTGGGACCAAAACCTTATTACTATGATATATATATGATTCCAAGCTACAATGTTTAGCAGTCGTCACCCTCTTACATTCTTATTCTCTCTACTCTGAGTTCTAATTAATACTGAAATTCCTTTTTATTCGAACACCCAAAATACAAAATATTAACATGGCCTCAAAGCCTAGGTTCAATTCAATCAACAGGACGTTGTGGAAACTATCTTTCCAGCACGATTTCGAACATTTGAAACCCCATAAAGTGGTTTAAGAACTGAGAGATGTCTGGATCACGTAGCAGTGAGCTTAGAGCTCCCATTTTCAATAATGAGAACTATGATTTCTAGAGGATTAGGATGACCACCATTTTCAAGTCACAAGATCTTTGAAAATTGGTTCGAGAAGAGTATGAGATTCCAAATTTAGATGACGAGTTCGAGGATCATGAGGAGCCCTTTATGATTCGAAAAAAAATATTGAGAGACAATGTGATAAGAGATGCTAAGGCACTGGGAAAATATAAGGGGCAGTTTCAGATGCCATCTTTCCCATAATATCAAATGAATAAACATCCAAAGCTGCATGGGAGATCCTATAAATAGAATATAGAGGTGGCAAGAAGGTGACCAAAGTAAAACTTCAATCTCTTAGACATGATTTTGAGTATACACGCATGAGAGAGGTTGAACATCTTAAAGATTATTTTACTAGGTTGTTTGATGTTGTGAACCAAATGAAAGCCCTTGGGGAAATAACTACCTTAGTAGAGACTTGTACATAAATTTTGAATTAGTTTGACAAGACCCTATAATTCTATAGTGAATATTATAGAGAAAACTAAGGACAATGGCACACTGGATGCACAAGAAATTATGGCTTCCTTGAAAGCCTTTGAACGAAGGTTAGAGAGACATGTTGATGCAGCCACAAAGAGGGCTTTTAAGTCTCTTAGTGTTAATCCTAGAGATGGGAGTTCAATTGGTCAATACAACAATTTCAAGCAACAAAATAAAAAATGAAAAAAGGGAAAATTAAGAAATGGGAAGGAAACCCAAGCTTGCATGTGAGAAATAACAGGGCAGAAGGTACATAACCACTTTGTAAAACCTGTGATAAGGCACACCTTGATGTTTGTTGGTTAAAGGGGAAAATCAAATGTCACAAGTGTAACAAATTTGGTGTCTGTCAAGTCACTGGTTCTGGTTAGGGTACTTTTGTTAATTCCCACTAAGTTTTAACCTTTCTCATCTCAATCATACAATCATTCTCTATGCTTTAGATCTTTTTCACAGTATCCTAGGTGTTTACCCCTGTTAATCTTTCTAGGTTTAAATGTATCTTCATCCTCTATTCGAATCCTCTTTCACAGTTTCGATTTCATGCCACCATGTCAACTCATCAAGCTCCGCCCCATAGCTCTAATTCTCCATCTCTAGTTCTACGACGAATGATGTGATCTCAATCCTTGAAATTTGAAATTGTCGCTTTCAAAGTACATTCTCAACCTTTATTTCATCATCAACCCTTTAAGGCAACAAAATCCTCATCTTCCTTTTTTTCCACGTCCCATTCTGTTCTAGTCTCCCGTGCATATTTTAGAACATTGGTATGATGGTGATTCATTGAGTTCAATTTCGTCTGACGACTTTGAGGACGGCGTTGAATAAATTTATGTTTCTGGTCTTCCTTCCACTCTGATGCCGCCACTTAGTTTGTAGACTTCTAGGTTTATGGGAGAGTTAGTGTCTAGGAGAGTACTAATTATGGGGGGAGTTCAAATTTTTATTAGGCAAACTTGGACCTATTGTGGTTTTATTGTAATTGAACCTTTCTTTATGTTGTACTTTGCTTGTGCTACTCGGTGTTATGTCTTATTGGTTGTTTTGGCTCCTTCCTTGGACATATTTTTACGACTCTTACTTTTGGTACCAAGAATTGTACCTATGTTGGTCTCTCTTGATTGTCTTGCAATTTGTTGGCTATTGTTACTGTTTATCTCTCTGAGTT